AAAGCTACAGAACCAAATTAAAACAAATCAATAAGGCATTTGGCAAACTTACAGAAGATATAAGTAGTAAGATATTACACCGGATAGACAAAATGATCAGTGAGTCTGCAAAAGAGACTAATAAAAAGATAGGAAAGCTGAACTACATGATGAAAAAAACTCTTCATTTGTGAATATACTCATATTTTAGGACTTTAAGCCTAACACATGCCCTAGACCACCTAAAGGGTCCTTTCACAGGTCATTGGAATTGTGCATGAAGCAAATTTGAGCTGAACTTGTCATTGCACCAAAAGGGTAATGTCTGATACATTCATGTGAAGTCTTTTCCTGCCCTCACTCCTGACTTTGCCCTTGGTTACAAACTTATAAGCGGTTTTGGAAGAAAAGAAATGATAGAAGGAAAGGCAGAATTGAATAAGAAAAATATATGTGCCCTTGTAAAGGGAATACAGGGAGAGGTCTCTCCTGGGTAGCTATAAAGCCTTGGATGTGAGAGAAAAAATATTAATTCACAAAAAAGTTTAAAAATTCTGCTGTGGCAAAAAGAACTCAAAGCTCGTGAGAGTAACCACTCATGTTCAATTGTGTCAGTTCCCCTCTGCTCAGGTTGCATGCTAATTGATCAAATCACATACTTGCTCGGTTCTATCAAATTTATCTACCTTCTCCTCCCTCTACCTCATTAATTCATAACTATTGAATTTCAGGTTCATGTTTTATTTGTCTTTACATCTCCAGCATAATGCATGCCCTGTAATAAGTTGTCAGTAATTTTATGTTGAATACATGACATATATTTGCATGAATAATATGACAAAACACTATATTTTCACACACTTTTTAAAAACAGCACATTCATTTGAAGATGTATTGGATATGTTATTATTTAACGAAATGCAGAAGGTGGATAGTTTCACACAGCTTCTTGGCATTTTGCTTAAATGGGGAAATATGTATATACAGTGATGATGATGTATAGGTACAAAATTTTCATGCAGGACTTTAAATTGTTTTATAGACTTTAGAGTGAAAACACTTGGAAATGTTATTTGATGTCTTTTTCTTAACTCTGCTAGTTTACTTTTTCCTGCTGCATGCCAGGTTGCAAACCAGGAGCTGGGGATGATAGATGTACAAGCTCTCACTCCTTTCTTAAAATGGATGGTAAAATCTGGTGGTATATAATAGAGATAGAAGCACTAACACATACCAATCTATCACCGTGCTTAGAGCTATTAGTGATACATAAATATTTTTTCACTAATTGAGTAGTAAAGGCTGCCATCATAACAGTAAGTTTGTAGAAAACTTAGAGTAAAAAGTGACTGAGTTTTATATTATTACATTAAGATAGTATAAAAATTAAATGGCATGAGCAAAATTGAAACAAATATTTGGAAAAGAATGACTGCTTGGAGTAATTACAATGATGTTACTATCTAATATTTATAAAGTAGTTACTAAGTACCATGAACTCTGCTAAGCATATTTTATACAAATACATTAGCCTTACAAGTCACATGCACTATACAATTTATTATATAGTATACCAATGAATAAAATGATGCTTTTACATGTTTAATAGCTTTCCCAAAGTTATATAGCTAGCATGTAATGCAGCAAATATTTGAACTTAAGATACCCATCTACAGAGCCATCAATCATTTATAAAATAGAAAGGCAGTATTAAAAAAACAAATTTTCAAAAATAATCCAACTTCTAAAATTTGTAATATGGAATATGAACCATAAGAAACTATATGGAACAGAGTCTAGCAGAAATCTAGTTAAAAAAAACACGCATTTAAGGGAACTGGAAGTGAGTTTTAAATACTTGAGATTATCTTAGCAGGTAAAAGCAGAGTTTTACACTCTCAGAGGTAGAAAAAAAGGCTTCCGTAACTATTTGAAATACAATATCAATATCTGCTATAGAAGGGATATTAAACTTCATATTTCAGAGATTCCAAAGGTGAGATAGACGAATATTCTTTTATCTGCTTTGTAATTTTTACTGTACAAGTCCCCAAGCCTCTGGGTCAATAAATTGAGAAATATTCTGTCCTAGTATAAGCCTCCTATAATTTTTGCATTTTTCATGCCTATAAAACCAGAGCCACATAGATGACACCAGAGTTTGCCACCAGCTTGAGTAGTAACCAGACCCTCTTGGATTTCAGCTGCAGGCTTCTGAGTGCCTGGATGGCTGAACTCAGGGAAATATTTCCCGTTACCATGAAAGATCAGGGCACCCTAGGATTCTCTTTTCAAATGAAAACTTTACAGTTTTCACTTGGGGGTGTGGGTGCTGGGGAACCAACCCAGGGCTTTGCCCTGCTAGGCAGGTGCCCTACCACTGAGCTGTATCTACACTCTAGGTTTTCAGGTTTGAGCCTGAAAAAGGTGAGATCTTGTTGCTCCTAGAGACACCTTCAACTCATTATTATTATTTATTATAATATTATTATAATGCAAAGTATTATTATTATTCTGATGCAAAGTATTTGGTTTCCTTTTAAGGCTAATCTTTTCAGAAATCAATTTGTACAGGGTCCCAAATTTCAAGTGCTACCTTTCTGTTGAAACTGCAGACTTTTTACATATTTTGGCTCTAATATTTGCTTCTGATTTTTACTGTAGATCTGACTAAAGACATCCAGCAGTATCCATGCTACAATCTGAATACGAGGCTGCTTTGAAATTTCCTCTGCCAGATTAATTAGCTGGCTGCCCTTAATTTTAGTTTCCTGCAAAGTCTCAAGACATGGGCAAAGTCTAGACATAATTTCTGCCAGAGAATAATACTGAGGGCCTCTAGTCCACCTGCCAATGGAGTCTTTGTTCTCAATTGAAATCTTGGGAGCCTGGACTTTATTATCTAAATTTACATCATCATGCTGGTCTTCTAAGCTCCAACCAGAATCCCTCAATGAGTTTGATTTAAAATATTCTATGGCTTCTCTAGTCACCACCTCCACACCTTTTCAAACACCTCCCATGAGCCAATTCCCAGGGCTTCTAAACTAAATGGTCAGATACACAGCAATGATCTTACTTCTCTGGTATAAAGGATCTGTGTTGCTTACTTTCCTGTTGCTGGGACACGGTACCCAACAGTGTAAAGGAGAGGTTTATTTTGGCTCATGGTTTCAGTCCATTGTTGGATGGCACCAAGACAAAAACAGGATGGCCTAGGAGCATGGCAAATGAGACATCCTCCACCAATGGCAGCTAGGAAGCAGAGAGAGAAGCCAGAGATGACAATATATCCCTCCAGATCATATCCCCAGTAACACACCTCCAACCAGGCACCATCTCATAACAGCAATTCAGCTATAGCATCTTCATAATCCAGTCACCTTCTAAAAGCCTCACCTCTGAACATGTAAACCTTTTAGGGGACATTTCAGATCTAAATCATAACATATATAGATTAGCAACATGGTTACTCTAGACAATGAAATTCAATTTAAACTAACAAAATCTGGAAACAGTCTGGAAACAGTCTGGAAAAGGACAGTTCATTAAGGAAAATTTTCTTATTAAAAAAAGCAATGCTAAGCAACATGAAGAAATAAAAGTATTTACTTTTTGTAGCTTTCAAAATATCTGAGTTGTGTCTAAATTATCCAGTCTTAAGTCTGTATGTTCTTTTCTAAGTCTTCGGCTTGATGATCTCTTTTTTTCCTACTCTTGAATTCAAGTGTTCCTGTCATTTTAGCTGTTAGTTTTAGTCTATTATAAACGAAGCAAGATGTTACAGTAGGAAGAAGATCAAATTGAAAACTCTGGAATACAGTCAGGACTCTGAATTCTTTGGGGAATAATCCCTTAAGCTTCAGCTGAATTTACTCTAAGTCAAAGGAAATAGGAGGCTCTAAGAACTCATTCACTTTTAAAATTCTATTACTCTTTGCCAGTCCCCATCCCTTAAATTTTGAAATTCATTTCCCATAGCACCATTCTTCATGAACATACTGAGTAGTTGCTTCCTGTCACTGTATATGTTGCCACTTAAATTTGTCTATGGAATAAGTTTTATAAAGGTAAGAACATTTAGTGACATTTATATATTAGTTCAGGTTGGAATGTTTTCTTAAAAGTGCTATACACATTGTGTACTCTGAGAAATACATATTATAGGCTCAATACGAAGTTACTCAATTGACTGTAAATTGCCAAGATACTTCATTGTCTCAGACTGAAAAAAGGTAGTATGTCTCTGAGAATTGTTTGTATCCTTTAATAAGGTTTTATTACACAGTGCAGTAAATGGAAATAAGAGGAAATTAAGGTTCTTGTTTAGGTCATATCTGCCAGTTCATGAGTCTAGATCAAATTTTCCTCCACAATGCCACATACATATTTTATATAAGATGTATGCTTTAATTCAACAGATTAAAAAGCTGAGTCTTATTCTAAACGTCCATTACTTATCGAACTGTAATGTATTATATACCTAATGTGTTTAATGCCCTGAACTTTGCAGAGGCATTAGAGAGAAAAAGAAACCAGTGATTGCTCTGAGCTGTTTTATGGAATAGCGGTGGAATATATGAGATCAATAAAATAGCAATAGTGTAAGGACTAGAATGATGATTGAAACTACAATGTAGTTGCATCTAACACAGAACCAATAGGCCAAGAAGAGTTAAAATAGAGTTTTAAGGGTGATTTACACCATCCAGGCACAGAAGCATGGAAATTCTAAGCAAACAAAGCAGCCTACACAAAAGCAGAAAGAGAAAGAAGCCTCAGAACTTTGAAGAATAAATGGCTCAGCTTGGCTGGTAGCAGGGGGAAGGCTTTACATAGTAATAATTCTTTTGAAAAATAATTAAAGAGGTTTATACTATACTTCAAAAGGACCTGTAATAACAAAAGAGTGAAAGTAGGTTTTAAAAATGTAGAAGTGACAATAATATAAAGCCTGCAAGAACAGCACCAATGCCAAAAGGAAAGAAAATGAGACAGAAAAGCATGAAAAGAGGCCTGACCTTTGGATGCTGGGAAGCAGTTGCAGGTCCCTTGTGGTCCCATCGGCACAAATCAAGTCAGCCAAGGTGCAAGTCACCTGAAGAAACAGTCATAAGTCATTGTGTCCGTTTATTTTCCCTACCATATCCAGAAGGAGGCCCAAATCAATTCAGAAACTGTGACTCTGCCTACATGAGGGATAGCAGGTCGTTTTCAATGGGCCAAGTCCAGCATAGTATTTACTCAGTGTTGAAATGAAGTAAAGGAAGAAGGAATTGGTTAACTTCCAGAATAATGAAATAAAACATTTGGCTACAAAATTAACCAAAGGAACAAACGTCTTTTGAGGTTTGTTGTGGTAGCTGTGTTTTGCATCTAACCTACCTGGGGATGTTTGGATTTTTATCTCACAGGGCATCTTTGATATCACATATGATATGGTGTATTATTAAAGGTGTATTATGAAATGCCCAATTCTTCCTCTGCATTACCCCCCCAACACACAAACAAATTGATACCTGAATCACCATAAAGGAAATTTGCTTTCAACTCTGGCCAGGTCACCGGCGAGTTATCTCTAATATTTTTAAATTCTCCAAATATTAAAACTTAACACTTACCCTAAAATTCTCTTCATTGAAATTCCTTCCGTCAGGTTCTTTTGTCAGCTGAGGTTGAAACTGGCTACCCAACTAGCCTTGCTTAGGTTGTGTTCTCTTAGCTCTGGCATTTGTTATCTTTCAATAGTGCCCGATAAAAATGGAGTGGACCCCCCACTCTGTTAAAATCTCCAAACTGGGAAGGAATATACCAAGTTATTTTTATTTCCCTATTCTTTATTTTCCATTATGAATTCTACAGCATAATTCTAAAACATGATTTTGAGTAAGAGCTGTAAATTACCATTGTATAGGAGAAAAAGTAACTTTTAGGCTTATTATAATAAGATACTTGGATCACAAGTCCTAATTTTTAGTTCCAGATCTGTGACTACCTGCACACTTCATATCGAAGGTCAAACTATATGCTCTTCGAATTCTTCCTGTGTAAAATAACATATATAGACCTGTTGACTTCCATGAGTCCTTCTTATTACTCTCTGAATGTTTAAACAATTATAGTACTATCAAGACCTTTTATTAAAGGAGAAATCCACAAATAAAACAAATCTTACCATGAAATCATGGCATCAAAAGTTTTGAATAGGTTTCATAACCACCCTTAATAAAGAGAGCCACAGATATCATGATGTAGCATTTATCAGATGTCTGCGTGCTCATGTCACCATGCTAGACACTAAGATATATCAAATAAATTAAACAGATGTGGTTCTGGCCAGATTCCTAAAAGTACAATAGATAAAAAAGAGAAAATCATTTCCCACATGAGAGTGTTGAATCAAAGGAAATATTTATCAGGCTTTTCCTTCAGCATGATTCATGATGTGCTGTATTCTGTGCACTTCTAGGTTAAGAAAGAATAACCAAGAAAAGAACCGGAGAATTAAGTCACCTGCAGTTTGAAAAAGACATAAATCCTCCTTTTTTATTGGGCAAGTATAACAATAGTAACTGTTCAGAAGAAAATCAATCAAGCGAATATTGAATACTTGTTAGCTATGTTTTTCCTGGGCAAGGGAGAAATAAGATAAAATTAAGTACCGTTATGACTTTATTCTCTAGGAGAATACAATAGACATAATGACAAATTGTAATTGAGTCCAGAAATTAGCCATCCATTTTTTTTTTTTTTTTTTTTTTTTTT